TGCTCGAGGAACGCGCGTTCATCTCTTCCGAGTTTGCAATTCGGATACTTCGGGGAATCGGATTTGGATTCGTTGAAACGTTTCCATTTTTATCGATAGCTGCTACGTAGATCCGATTATACGAGCGAACCAACCGGACTAAACGTTATCAGACGTAAAGCTCGTAGATCAGTGTAGTATTTAATTATTATTGCAAGTATATATTTCTATATCTATATATCTACACGTAGTTGCCTTGCAACGTTAGAACGATTATTTTTGTTTATTACGTAGCACCACCCAAATAGATTATATCTTTTGAGAGTTGTATGCTGTGTCCATGTATAACAACAACGAAGTATCTCAATTGTTTATCCGTTTTAACATCGAAATCCTACATTCGAACGAATTATTTTTTCAAATTAAAAAAAAAAAAAAAAGAAAGAAAGAAAAAGGATATGATACATAATAACGAAATTAAAACGGGAAGGTTTGTAAGACAAGAGCAATGGCACGCACGCTTCCCCGAGCAGCGAGGAAAAGAAAAGAAAAAGGAACGCGAGGAGAAAAGAAAAAAGAAAGAAAAAGTCGAGTTAAAGATATAAAAAAAAAAAAAAAAAAAAGACACGTGAATCGCTTAGAGGGCGCGGTGGTTGGGCCTAATTACTCCTATCGAATGTTTTCTAAACAGGTCTCCAGGTGGTGCTCAAGTCTATTATCAAGGCAATGGCGCCGCTTCTGCAGATCGGCCTGCTGGTACTTTTCGCCATCGTGATATTCGCCATCATCGGCCTCGAATTCTATTCGGGGACCCTGCATAAAACGTGTTACAGCATCAGGGATATCAGTGAGTAATATCTTTTCTTTCGAATAATATAAAGAGAGAAAAAAAAAGAAAAGAAAAGAAAAATGAAGGAAAATGAAGGAAGGAAGGAAGTAAGGAAGGAAAGGAAGAAGATATTCTCATGGTTCTCGAACCAGACGAGAGAGATCGGTCTGACGTTCACTCTGTTGTAGATGTAATCGTGAAGGAGGGCGAACAGGCGAGCCCGTGTAACACGGACAACAAATCCGAGGCGCCATTCGGGGCCCACGTGTGCGACGCGAACATCTCGACGTGCATGGATCACTGGGAGGGACCAAACTTCGGCATCACCAGCTTCGACAACATCGGATTCGCCATGCTCACTGTCTTCCAGTGCATCACTATGGAGGGCTGGACTGCCATATTGTACTGGGTAAAGCAAGAGATATGTCCTTCAGTGTTAAAAACTCTCTCTCTCTCTGTCTTTCTCTGTTTTCTTTGTCTCTCCACCCCCCTTCTTCCCCCCATTATAAATTGTGTAAACGTTTCTCCTTCGTGTCGCGCACGTTGAAAAGCCTTGATACGTCTCGGAATTTTCGTGTTTCCATTCCATTTGGATTCGACCCTTTATTCCCTCCAGAAGCATCCCTCGCGTGGAATCGAACCCTCTGGTTCACCAAGGGCAAATGACCGAGCGTTGTACGCTATTCCATTCGATGAGTATACGTTTCCCCTCTGTAACTGTACGGTTAGTTGCGAAATATTCGTGTTTTACGTGAATTCAACTAACGAGTTGTGAAATTAAAATGAAAATTTTATTTTTAATAAAACTTTATATGAAGCAAGTATTTTTTTAAATATTATTTTTTAACGAACAGAACAATATATATTGTTAGAATATATGTTGCCAGTGAATGGTTTATTATATTCAATCGAATTTTGAACTATTGTCTGAAGATAAATGATAAAAATATTAATGTGGAGAATATTATTAATTAATAATAATGTCACGAAAAATAGAGAAAAAAGGAACAGTTTTTGGTAAATTTTATAATAATTTTACAATATTTATTAAAGTTTAAATGATTTAAAAATTATATACAATCAATTCGATCAATATAAAATGTTCACATTTTAATATTTTATTATCTTTGATATTATATTATAAAAGTTTCCATTATAAAAGACAATTGCTCTACATATGAATTAATTACGGTACAAAGTTTCATTAAAATTCGAATTTTCAATTATCTGAATCCAAGACGAAATATTTTTGCGACTTACTGTACATGCATATTTGCTTGCCATCTATCCCTAATTTTTAATATCTATTTCAAATCTCTCTAAATGTTTCATCGTTCCACGTAACCATCCCCATTCCCCCTTGTCGATCATCCCTTATCTGTGTGTTTATCTGTCTCTTTCTTTCTCACTTTATCACTCTGTGTCTGATCCGATGTTTCGCTTCCGCCGCCATTACGTTTTATCGTAATCGAGGAGAAGTGCTTGCAGATGTTTAAACAGCCTAACACTGACCTACATGTTCACCTTGCTCAGTATAACACTGTCAGTTTCAGCCCTCTTTGCAAATCTTTTGGTGTTAATCGCATTTCTTTACCATAAGCTTCGTGTCCTCCGCGTGACCGGAAACTCGAAGAACTTCGAATCACGTGATCCTCCTTTAAAATGGAGGATCTTGAATTTCTTCGATTTGGTTTTTTCGCGCACGATGATCGATATTTTTTTTTTTTTTGATAGAAATGGAAATTTTTTATTTTCTTTTTTTAATATAAATATCTGTTCTGTATTGAGAAATGGCACTGTGACATCTATGAAATTTTTATTTGTTTATTTGTGTCTGCGATGTTTTTTTAACTGTGTCTTCTTTTTTTTTCCTTTTTTTTTTTCTTTAATTGTTGTAATTGTGAGTGTTGTTGTAATCTATGAACTTAATAAATTGATAAGTCGATTAGTTACATAATTAATGATTCATAGTCCTACATGATGAGAATATGAATCATTGAGGATCGCGTGTTGTGCTACTTTGTTTTCTATCCCAATATACAATTGGAAATAGAATACGATAATTGGTTTTTATAAAGGGGTCTGTGCAGGATCGATAATGTTGCCGATATGGACGAGTATTGACAATATTCTCGATATAAATGAATATTGACAATATTGTATCAATAATAACTTATATACGTATGGATAAGTATCGACAATATCATTGATCGTATGCAGTTTTAGAAAAGATTAAAATGGATTGAAAATACGATTTTAAAATTATCAATATTTCGAATTAATTTCATTAATATAAAATTTCCCTGCAAATTTATTAATGTAGTGGTTAATTTATATATTTAAGCTTAAATTAAATCAGTATCTGTCAATATCCAAAATAATCTTGGAATCTGATCGATAAAAAATATGCCAAATAATAGCAATCCGTTTAGATTTGAAAATATTTTCTAAAAAAAATAAAAAAACATTTCAATTTCAATCAATCATAGAAGGATACTTGAGTATCCAAATTTCGATCTATTCAAAATTCTAAATTAATTCTTACATTAATACCAAAAACTTTTAACAAAATATCTTAAATTCCAAATTATAATAGAGCAACCAGATAAATCAAAAATCCAATTAAATTTGAAAACCTCTTTTTTTTTTAATAGAAAAATTTTAACTTTAATCCAACTATTTATTACATATATTTATTGAATAAGGCTCAACGATCGTGTACAGGTCCCTTTAACAGACAACTCAGTGCTGTTTCTTGGAAGAAAAATTAAAAATCAAATCAAAGATCGTGTATTGAAATTGGATAATCTCTAGAATAAAGATATATGTAAAGATGTTAAAAAGGGAAAAGGGGATAAGAGTGAGAAAAAAAAAAAAAAAAAAAAAAAAAA